CTTGCATGCGAATCTTCCCACTGGGCCCCACGGTGGACGTATTCTGGAGCCACGACACGATCGACGTGTGTGTGCGCTTGGGGTTGGAAGTTTACGGGACCGCGGGTACAGGGGCTATGGTTGGAGCGCGCCGTGGAGCCACGAAATCTATGAGGGACGTGCCCAATGTTCGCGGGGAACCGCGCGTATACTCGGGTTTGGGGCCTTTCATTCAAGTTGCCGCGTGCGGGGTGTGCCAAATCGGAGGCATGTTCACTAGATGGAAGCGCCACGGCACCTCGATTTCTGCGGGGTCGGCGGATGCTGGACGTAAGTTGTGGATTCCGAAACTGGGGCGGGTCCGTGATTGGGCAGGCTGGGGTATTCGGAGCAGTGGGAGGAGGAGGATGAGGAGGAGGAGGAGGACGAGTGACGCTGCGAGCGTAAGAGCGGGGCGAAGGAGACGGAGCAGGAAAAGGAGGAAGAGGAGGAAGGGGAGGAGAAGGGGGGACGAGGAGGAGGCGGAGGAATAGGACATGACATTGAGCTTCTCATTCCTCTCTGGGATTGGCCGCCTGCGTCTGCGGCTCGACTCTTGGGGCGCTCTTGGGGCGCTCTTGGGAGGCTTGTTTGGGACCTCGGGGGCCGTCTTGGAGACCTCTTGGCCCGTCTTGGGGCCATCGTGGGCGTCTTAGAGCGGTCGTTTGGCGTTTCGGAGCCTTCGTGGGCCGTCTTGGAGACCTCTTGGGGGCTTCTTGACCCGTCTTGAGGCCCTCTTGGGCCCGGAAAAGCCCTGGAACCGCTCGTCCCGGCCGTGCTGCGCTCGTCCCGGCCCCCTCCCCCCCTCCAAATCGGCCCTCTTGGGCCGTCTTGGGGACCTCTTGGGCCGTCTTGGGGCCGTCTTGGGCCGTCTGGAGGCCGTCTTGGGGGCCTCTTGGGCCATCTTGGGGCTATCTTGGGGCCTCTTTGGCCGTCTTGGAGCGTCGGGGAGCCGGAAAGGCGGGAAAGCAAGAAACGTCGAAAAACACTCTGGAAAATCAACAATTTTAGACTCTTTGGGCCCTTTTGGGAGGCTTGTTTGGGACCTCGGAGGCCGTCTTGGAGACCTCTTGGCCCGTCTTGGGGCCATCGTGGGCGTCTTGGACCGGTCGTTTGGCGTCTCGGAGCCTTCGTGGGCCGTCTTGGAGGCCTCTTGGGGGCTTCTTGGCCCGTCTTGAGGCCCTCTTGGGCCCGGAAAAGCCCCGTGAGTCGCTCGTCCCGGACCCCCCCCGCTCGCGCTCGACCCCCCCCCCCCTCCAAATCGACCGGACCGGGCTCCCGGGGGGGGGGTTTGGGGAGGGGGGAGCATCTCGCACGCCGATGATCCCCAAGAGGTCGGCGGGGCTCCGAACCGAGATTTTGGCGCTCCTCCTCCGTGGTTGAACTTCGAGAACCTCGAAACATATAGGCATAATGTATTAGCATGGACTCGACGTACCGGCTTTAGGCCAGAGACTCAGGCAGGACGTATTCTAGAAGGTCTCCCAGTCGAACTACAGCTTAAGTTTCGAACGATCCGGGCCGATCTCGACGCGCAGGACGGCATCGACCGATATTTGAAGCACTTGTCATTATTGAACGGCGAGCGGCCTGGAGATCGCGAGAGGATGGCACACAATGCAGCGCTGTTCAATTACATGATCAAGAAGGGAGAGTCGATCACGGAGTTCGTTCTGAGGCGCGACGCAGAGATTGCAGAAGCAGAACGATACGACTTGGCCCTGCCGGATCCGATCAAATCGAGGTATCTCGAGGAAGGAGCTTGTCTCTCAGCGCAGAACAAGATCAACATGCGCACGTTGGCAGGAGGCAGGGACGACTTCAGTTCGATACGGGCCGCAATTCTGAAGTTGGACGTCAAAGATCAGCCGATCCTGCCGACGACGCACACGCCCGTGACGAAGGCGTTTGCGGCCGAGGTCTCAGAGGAGGTTCCCCCGCCGCCGGAGCAGTGCCAGGACGAGGCTCTCATGACTGAGATCGACGACTCCGTCGAGCTGCCAGAGGAAGATGTGGACATTTTCCTCGCCACGCTCGACGACCAGGACCTCGGCGAGACCGAGGTGTTGCAGATCTTCGCGGTGGTGGTCGAGGATCGATTGGGCAAGGAAAAGAGGCGCACCTGGGCTGAGGCCAGGCGGCTCAAGGCTGCCAAGAAAGTGGACCGCGACTTCTTCGACAGGAAGAGAGCTGCTCGCCCAGGATTCAAGAGGCTCATGATGACCGACGTGAAGAAGCGCACCAGGTGCGCGAACTGCGGCGAGCGTGGCCACTGGGCGGAGTCGTGCAAGAGTCCGTTCAGATCCAAGGCGGATAGGATCGCCAGCGAGAAGGGCAAGAAGGACGGCGCGGGCAAGAGCTTCTTCTTCGACGTGCTGCCGGACGCGGACAGCTACATCCAGGTGGGCGACTGGAACCAGCTGCTCATGACGTTGCACGTGGCAGGGCCGGAGCTTTCGCTGCGGCAGCTGGGCGATCACGCCTTGGTAGACACCGCAGCGGGTCAGGCGCTCATCG